TAATCCGAGACAATGAGGGATAATGATCATCGAGTAGCTTGAAACAAGAATTCGAAACAGAATATCGTTTCACATTTCGTTCTTTATCGCGAATTCCTCTACTTGCTCGCATTCCGAATGTAATTTTGAGTTCGTTTATCGTTCCCCAATTGTTACATTGTTCAAATAGCCAGAGAAATAAAATCTGTCAAACTTTCCATCGAATATTTAATTTCCTACCCCGTCTGATATTCATTAAATATCGGTCGCGTATGAAAAAAGTCTGTTATAACAATATTTACGGCGGGTAAATACAGTGGAATAGAATAAATAGCAGAGAGAAATTCTCGAGGTAAGAGAATTTAACAACCATGGAAATAAAATGCACATGGAAGAGAATATAAAATATGAAATTACTGTTGCAACTGATACGAATACCTATCAATAGGTACTTGAAATTAACAAAGATGAATTTCAATATAATATGATTCATTTTCGAAAGCTTTTATGGATGCATTCCATAATTTCTGCGGCCGTTATTTCTGCAGCTTTTAATTTCCTTCCATTTAGGAGACTTCCGTCGGTGTGTACCGGTGGAAATAGCATGCTACGAGACGGAAAGATGCTACTTAACGTCTCTCCCCAGTGCCGTTAACGCGGATCGAATCGCTTGTAACGTTGACAGTGGCCGAGCCCCTTTTACCAACGTAAACTCGAATGACTGAGAGACACCATTTCAGCTAAAGCATCTCGATATTGTGTTCGAGTGGCATCGAGTGTCGGCAGGGGATGACTTTAGTTATGGCACGTTAGTTACGCAATGCTTACTTCGCGATAAATTATATCCCGGCCTGAAGAGAAACGTACACGGTCTTAAACTAAACGTTACATCGATTCGAATTTATTCTCACGATTTTATTCGAATGAAAAACTACCGCTAACAAGGATGTTATCGACGTTAAAAATACTCATTATGTTTCAAGGAAGACATCTTGATTAAGTGGAGGCACCCTCCTGAGTCGTACGGATCCTTGGTATCTGTATAGTAGCCCCGAGCGTCAAAGTGTTAAAAAAACAAGGGTAGATTCCATCTGAAGATACTTCTGAGTTTTCACATTGATTTCAGCTTCATCGGTTCGACTGTTTGAAAAATCTTTGTGGACAGAGCCGATGAATTTGTCAAAGAGTGCCTAAAATAACATCTCGGTGGAAAAGTGAGGTGAAATATTGGCCTTTAGTATTGGCTTTTTGGTAGCCGGGGAAAGTCTGGTTTGAAAATGTATCATATCGGGTGTGTTTCGCGTGAAATAGTAGCTCGGATCGCGTGACAACTTAAAAGCTCGATTTTTTTTACAAGAAAATTTATAGCGAAAAAATACAACTTATAATCCGATTAGTCGAGATAACATCCCGTCGAACTCGTGGGATTTAATCGGAACTGATTGTGGTCACGCAAAGGTATTCGCTTCATCTTTCCATTTACTGTTGCACTTTCATAATCTTTTTATTTAAAAAAATACTTATCGTAACATTTTTTACGGCCCTAAGAACAGCTTAGCAGTATAACAATTTTCTGTTACTTAATTTGTTCGAACTGCATTTACTCAGGCTTCAGTCAACAGACAATGAAGTCTGTAGATGAAAAATAATACGATGAAAATAATCAATAAGTACTTCTCTGCACTGCCTTCTTCGCCATCTTAATTATAGCTTCTTAATTAAAAGTCTGAACAGTATTAGTTTCCAATTAATCACGGCACGTTGCATTGCAACGTTATCCAACTATGGTATCTTTAGCAACGATTTATCAATCTGCATCGAACGGTTCTTAATCATTTAACCAGTAATGCGTGAACAATTGACAACTTATAAATTAGAAGTTTGAATGGAAACTGAAAAAATTCTTGTATTATTTTTGATAGTTTTATTCTTTAAACCAATTATCAGATAGCATCGATATGGAAAATCACTTTTTACGAAAAAAAAAGAAAGGAAAAAAGGCAGAGTACATTGTGAACCGTTATTGAAACTTGAATGGCTCGATGCCAAACCGATCACAAGCCAATCCTTTTAGAAATGACATTCCCGTGAATTATGCGATTGCCTTTGTAGGCATATGCTACCGTTTCCATATATTCACACGTATGGAACACGATATGCGGCTACGGTTAAAGTTGCCTCTCTCGTCATCCTGCTCGCATCAAGACCCACCTATTACAGTTCACTTTATTTGCTCAGGACTGCGGTTCTCTTTTCAATTCCGCATCAAACGGGAAATAATCCAGCGATATATGAGTCTCATTTGTAACTTGTAATCTCGCGCGAAATGTTGGACATAATTCAGAATTAGGCCTCTTCCATCTGAGTGTTCCATGGCTTGTAAAACCATTGTTAAATAGCAAGAGTTTCATGTGGTCGGTAAGTTATTCGATATTTGAAAGTGACGAATTTATCTTCATTGATCTCCATAAATTGTATTGTCTTTAAAGCATGCAATTACACTAATATTCTATTCATTTATCATTGATGTACTTTTGTGTGTAAGTATATGCCACCCTTACACGTAGCTTACTATAAAGGATTCGTTGGTAGTACCCCTGCCCCTCGAATCAATTATCATTTCATTCCGAGGAAATTACCGATAAATCCAATGCGGATCCCTGTCGGATTAGGGATCAATTTTCCAAAAAAGCGCAAAAATTTTCACAAGTTGACATAAGCAGCTTAGCGGCGTGTGTCTATGGCAGCTGTTCTATCGAACTATTGGAAACCTATCTCTTTATATATTGTTCATAGCACAAACATTAATCCCGTAAATACCGAAATTATCCGAGGAGGGCTACTGAAAAGATAGAAAAGGGCACAAACATTGGCAGCGTGTAATCATTCACCTAGGTTAAAAATTTGGTACTCCAACAAAGAGTCTTATTCAAATTCATTTGATGAAAAGTGTTACTTGTATTGTACACTATAATTATGAAATATTACAATTGCTAATAATTGAATATCAAAATAATTGGATCCATTATACTCCACTTTTATCAATTTATGCTTGTATTCGTTGAATTACAAATATTTCTTTCGGTCTTGACGCGATTGCTATCTTCATTAATATATTTTCGCGGGAATAGTTGGAAATAGTCTAAATAAAAATTACATTTAGAGAATTTCATACAATTTGAATTTTAGATTTGTTCGTATATTAAGTTATTAATATTTACTGAATTTTGTGCATACAAATTGCAAAGTTAAATATTTTTAAGAACTGATGGCTCGATAACTGATCAGAAATTCGTCTTTATAAATTAGCGGCTTAGTAAGGAAGCGAGTCAGTTTGTCTTCGGACGTCAAAAAGAAAGGAAGGTGTACTCTCGTCGTTGACAGTAACACCATCTATACAAAGATGGCTGAAACTATTTAACAATTTATCGACTGATTTTTTTTTTATAAAAAATACTTGAGGCCCCCTCGGGCCTATGTGTGTCTCTCTTTATTATGAGCATATAAAATTTTACAGATATAATCGATTGATTTTCCGAAACTAGGGAACATCAATACCCTTTATCAGGGAACGGTTAAAACTACGGGACAACTTATTGACAAGTTGATCGATAAGTCGGCAACTAGCTTTAGCTAAGTAGTAGCACCGACGTGAGACTACTCTCTCGTCGGTGGTAATAGTCTCTTGTCGACGATAGCAGTCTTTAGTATCGGTGGTGGTACGTTTCGGAAATTCGATCGGTAAGTTGTTGAGTAGTTTTCGTTATTTTTTACAGATGACGTTGAGATCGAATAATATAAACATTTTTGCAAATGTCCAAATAAAGACCAGAGCGCCATTCTTTGGGTTGGATAGAGCAAAACGAGGACTCTACAAGCTTTTGTTTAGAAAAATAATGAGAGTTCTTTTTAAAATGCTCCTTTAGGAGCATTTGCTCCTATAGGAGCAAAAAATACAATTTTCTATTTTATTAGTTTCGCCGCTTCCTACTAGATGGTGCCACCGATACCGTTTCCAAAGCGCGCCGCGGTATAAAATTAAAGAATCCTATAAAAATACAACAAATACACTATTTATATTTTCCAACGCTCCTTTTATATTTAAATACTCGATATTTAGCCGATGTTTCCTTAACATGATTGAATTTTTTCGCAAAATCTGCGCAAATTCTGTTTGCATGAAACAAAACCGATCGAACCTTGTTATTGTGGTCGCGAACAATTGCGTTCGATATATATGAAGCATCGTTGTCGAGCATAAAGAAAAGTGGAACATGTTTATAAAGGGTTCGAAGTCGAGTAACCTCGTTTTATATTAGTGCTAGTCGCTAGCGAACCGTTTACAATTCCAGAACGATATTTCTTATATTATAGAGTACGCGCAGGAAACTGGTAGATAGTCAATCATTAAGAGGGTAATCGTTTGCCTTTGTGATCCACTTTCCAATTAGATCGTAGAAATGATCAATTTCGTTTCTATATAGGAATGGCAAGGGAAAGTAAGGGCGAAGGAAATAGTACCTTCATTTTTATTCCTCAAATATAGAAGATTATTAAAAATAGATTATACAATAGCATGGAAATTAAGCAAATAACTCAATTAAAGTCGGTGAATCAAGGTGTATACGTTTATCATTTATTACATAAACTGTCCGTTGATACACATAAGTAACTCCATCATATTTGCTAAAAGTGAAAGAGAAACTTTGTAACTGTTGCTCCACATATCATTAGATCGTAAAATCAACAAAAAGGCTCGTTTACTCCACTTGTTCAATATCTATCGGCAAATGGAAAAGATGGTCTAAGGCATGAGGTAACTTTTTTCTAAAAGGCGATATTTTTCACGAAACATGGACAGCTTTAATAGAGGCTGTATATCCGTGTCCGTAGACTTAGATCGCAGGAAGTCACGCATATCAAAGCAGCTATCAGTCAGTAAGAGGAACGAGGCGACGCGTTGTAGGAGGGGAGGCTTTCGAGTTAGGTGTCGAGGGTAGGGGCTAGGCCAGGCGTATAGCAAGCAGAGAGTAACGCCGGTGGTGGTGGTGGCGTGGAGAGCCGGGCGAAAGGGAAAATGGTCGGGCGAACACTTTTTTTCTCCCCCATTTAGAGGCAGGTTTTTTGACACGGCGGTCGTTCGATCGACTTCCATTTGTCTCCGAGCATTCCGTCGACAAAGGTCCGCGAAACCGCGCGCTTGCACCGGTGCAGTCGTATCTCTTCGCGAAGATGCATCACGATCGTTTCCACCTGACCTGATCAATTCCCCGTATAAAACACCTCTGTTCAGTGAATTTTCGATAAATTCTCGAGGACCCCTTCAACAGTTGTATCTCTCGAAAGTTTCAACCTGTGATTTGTCAGCATCAGTGTGAACGATAAGAGGGTATTTAGGAAGAGGACAACCCGCGCGACCAGGTGAACTGAAATGATACATTGGATCGGGCTCGTCTAAGAAGCTGCAAGGTGAGCGTAATTTAAGCGCGACCGGAACCGAGCTAGGGTTCTTTTGTCTGCATGGGAAAACCGTGAGTCGACTCTATGGAAATGAGTCTCTCCTCATGAACGTTCGAACAAGAAAAATGATGCGTCTTCTTAGATAGCGTTCCACTTTTCCGTACTTTGTGTGCTTCGGTTGTCCTTAACACATTTGCCGCCAGCGATTTTCCATGAGCCGCTGTCGTCACACGTGTGCGACCACCATGAATCTTTTATAAAGTTTAGTCATTCGTGGTAGGTTCGATCATTGATCAGTTTCACTTGGGTCAACTTAAAATTCAAATGATCCGAACCTTAATATCGACGGCGCAGTATTTCCCTGGGAACAAATCGGTAAATGAAAAGTTGGCGGGAAAACCCGTTTCAGCGGTGGTCGTTGGATAAAAAAAGTCGGTTTGAATGGTTACGCTCGGTTCCGTGATCGCGAGAACCGGCTGGAGTTGCAGAATATTAGCCGAGCGACCGCGGAATTAACTGACCGTTGCCTGTATAACTCCGGTAGTCCACTTTCTCGCGTGCAAACTTCCAGATGTTCCCCCGCGTTTCTTACGTAAAAACACGGCTATCCGAGCGGACCGTGCCGAAATGATCGTGGCCCGTCAGCTACAGCTCGTCACGGACCCTTAAATCGAACAACAACGCTGAAAATTGTTTGCGAGATCAGCGGCGCGTTTAGCTACGTGCTTTTCGCCGCTCTATCCTTTGTCAAGCTTCACGTTCCCTTTAAACCTGCATTCCGATTACTTTTCTTGCCACCGTTTCATTCCGATTAAATTATCGACTATTGGAAAGCGGGCGTCGATGAAGTATCTTACAATATGGTCAATTTTTCACACCCTAAAATCGTAGCCTTAGTTCAGAGAACACAGAAAATTAGATTATTAAATATTTTTCAATTCAGAATTTATGAATTTTTTATATTTTAATATTAGTTTAATGGATTTAATGGGTAATGTCTGTACGGAATATGCTTCACAATCGCGGCCTCAAACCGATACGTGCAGTTGCATATAGCGGCGAGGAGAATTTACTTTCGATCGGCGCGTAACCGATTCGTGTGCACGAACGATCGTGGAAAGGAATCGACGCTGATACTGTTTTCTCGTGAACGTTTTTAGTCGGCGAACGTAATAGGTTACGAACGAATTAATGGTTCTCCTTTTTGCACGCGGGTGTCCTGCAACCGACTCCATTAATATTACACCAGTAGAAATAATAAGGTAAAATGATACGTGACGTGATTAACGTGTTAAGGGTTGAAGCGTTTGGGCGTAGAAAATGAGCGAGGAAAAGTTGAATGAGCGATGCAGAAGTTGAATGGATCGAGCGAACGAGTCTAACGGTATTTCGAGTACGGTCGTCGATCCATGGCTGATCTTGATCTTCCTCCTCTCCTTGTTGATCTTCGCGGCTGAAGAGGAAGGAGGATCGAGAGAGCTCACGATCATCACGACTCACCGTGTACTTGAAACGGCCTCGTTAGATCACCGTTTGTCAAATCCTGAACATCTGGCAACCGGTTTCTATTTAGCATCAATTTTGGTGATGTCACCTGTTTTAGCACGTGGAAAATGACATGTCACTGTATCACTCGTGTTAAGTTGAACTTTACGTTGAGATTAGTTTTGATAGTATTCGACGAGAAAAATTCAAAACTGCAAATTTAAACTTTAGGAATCCATCCGTTCATAAGTTATGCATATGTAAAGGTGAGCGTTTTTAACATATTTTGAGTAAATGAGCGATACCTACAGGCATCGATTTTATAAATTAATTAATTCGCAAATTATTCGCATTGAGCAATTATTGAGCATTAGAGATGCTTAACTTTAAATACGCATAACTTTTGAAGTAATGGATTCCTAAAATAAAAACTTTGTTTTAAAATTTTTCTCGTCGAATACTACAGAATATATTAAAAAATATGAATAATTCTGTGTGCTCCAAAGTGAAGTTCGACCTAAAGCAACGTTACGATTACCTAAGCCGAGCGAAAAATTCCCAGGGGAAATTTTCTCCATCGTTTTTATATTTTTCACGAAACATAGCAATTCCCCGTGGAATATTTTTATACATCAATGAAGTAACCAAGATATTCGAATATCCCCATTTGTATGCTCCACCCTCTGTAATAACACGGAGATATGAAAATTTGATAGGAATAAATTTATCGTTGCAAGAATGAAACATAAATATTGTCTCCTCTCGACACCACCCAATCGTGTTATCGAAGTTCTTTTAAGAATCGCAATTACTTTTAACGCCGCTATCTTCGCAAACCGGTTATCGAGTTAAAATTTAAGAAACATCTTGACAGATTCAGGTTTCCATTAAACAGAGGGTGGGGTCGTGCTATGGGCATTTTTAAACCTCTCCAAGTGCTATGAAACAAACCTTGGCCTCCTTTCGAACATGTCGCTTTTGAAGACGGTCAGATCGTTTTTGCGATAGGTGGACCAATTAACGAATATAAAACTAACAACAATGCAGATCGGTTTATTACGAAACGGGCGTTAAAAGAACGAAATTTGGTTTCTTTTTAATCAGGAAATAGTGATCGTGGTATTATTAAGCGGCCAGTTGTTGTTATTTTTAATCGAAAAATTACGATGCGGTTGTAGCGCATGAACGCGAGATAAAAATAAACTTCGATCGATCTTTTTGATATAGAAACAAAGGGGATAATCGCGTATTCATCCTTGATGGTGTATAAATAACCCTCGTCCAAGATAGGATACATCGAGGGCAATTTAGAACCGAGATATTATATCTACTTTTTGTAACAATTTCATCGCTGTTTATTAACATATTTATTGTTTGTTTATTGCAGAATGGTGCGGAGATTTTCGTGGTGCACGACGGTGGCATTGGTGGTGCTACTTTTCGTCACAACCGAAGGTCTTCGAGAACGTAGCACTCAGGTAACTGAAAGATTATGAAACAGATAACGGTGTATAAACCTTACGTTCGCGGATGAATAAAAAACCAATTACTGCGTAATTTAATCAGCTGGATTTTTTATTAACTATGTGGACGTTATTATTTCGAAAAAGTAAAAGCTTGTTAACATAAATGAACTAGCGAGTTAATTAACGAGGAATATTACGACTTTTACGTGAAAAGAATTAATAGAAGTTTAGGTGATTGACATCACAGCTTAGGAACGGATTAAGGTTTAATTTCAGAAAGAAGGTTTGGGGCCCCGGGCTGTCGTCCCCCTTAGACCTCTTGATTCGACGCTGTCACAGACAATTTGTTTCGCGGTTTTCCAACGACACGATTTTTTCCCCATTGCAAATGTGATTAAAGAGTGCATCGATTCCGTGTCAAGGATACTGTGTTGCATTTAATGTGGTGGCAGAGTGAATTTTTTCCTCTTTCCTTTTCACGAAGGCTACCGAGCCACTGGAACGGATTAATTCTTATAATTCGATGAAGTCTTGTGATCGAACATGCATGATAGGTAATTAACAAGCGGAGGAAGTTATTTGTGAGGCCCACGTGAGGACCTTGCTTCGGAAAGGAAATCCTTACGTGTCTTCTACGCGTTTCTTCGCTTCCTGTCGTTAAGTCGCATCTTCAATTTGCTCGTTCCACTGTTTTACTTGGAATTTTATCTACATAAGCAAAGTTAACTGACTCCAGTCACGCTACGTGGCACACAAATCAAGGAGATAATTAAAAATTCATATTTTTAAATTAAATTGCAGCTCGTGGTTAGCAGTTTTCACTGCAGCTTTTCAATTTCTGTAAAGTGCTATTTTAAAGTTAGCGGAAAAAGAATTAATTACGTTACTCGGGAGATAGAAACGTGACGTTCGTTTCTCGATAGAAAGCGACTTAAATCGTCAACTTCACTTTCCATAAAATTAGCGTTAATAACCGCACGGTTTTTTTTTATTTTCGTTTTCTTGGAAACGAGATCTCGTTGCCTCTTCCGTGACTATTTTTATTTTTCAAGAATAAATGTAAGAAAAAATAAAGACGGCAAGCGATCATCATAGAATCGATTTCTCGATGTCATGTCTTCGAATGAAGATCTTCGGACGTTTCGATTTATTCACCGCAAAGGTTATGGAAACGTGTTCCCATCGATAAAAATGAGCGTCGTGAATCCTTTCATGTTCTGCAAGTCATAATCCTGTACTTTAGACACCACGTGTCGAGCATTGGAAAGTTTTCATGGTAAATAGAAGTAACAGGATCCTAACGTTACGCCAGATGCATTTCTGTCGCGAGTTTCAAGCGTTCGCTGTTCCACGCGAAAGGGAAAGGGTATATAGAGTTATTAAACGCCGCGCCGTTAAGTCCAATTAATCATGAAACGTATTTTTTCTTTTTTTCTTCTTTTTAAATCAACCACTTTATCCGATTATTGTACGGTGTTTCATAACGCAGCGGCAACTGTGTCAACAACGATATCGAGCAGAAAATCGTTTGGATGATGAAGTTTGCTCTAAAAATGGTAGGAACCTGCGATATCGTTACGAGCTCTAGCGAGTTCGCAAGTGTATCGTATTTTCAAGTACTTCGAGATAGTGGATAGTCGATAGACAGAGACTGGAAACGAACACGGTGGAGAAGAAAGGGAGGAAAGAGAGCTGCAGGTTCGCCTGGACCACGCCTAGTCGTGCGCCGGTCTCTCCTGGCGAATAATGCAACGGGTGCTCGTAAATTTTCGGCTTCTCTGATCGATCTACATATTTATTCTTGAAGGATGACGTTTGTGACGTTGGCTGGGTGCGGGACAGGACGCGAATCGGGTCATTGCTTCAACCGGACATGATTATGCGTGTCATTGAAGGATAATGTTGTCGCGAATACGATCGACTCGTGTGCCTCTTTCATTGATGATTTAGACCTTATCATTTAACCCTTTGAAACCGATAAACTCAAAGAAAATTATTATGGTGACCTAAAAATTTATATACACCTCTGGCTAATAGCTTATAGCTTTGTCTTACGTGTTCACGACTTAAATAATTTGTAGTCAGTCTCTTTCGGAAGGTAACACGGTTAGCTGTCCTCTTATTAAATATTTTAATCCCGATGAGAGAAAGTTCAACTGATACGCATCTAACAATACACTTCTGTTCTCGTTTAATGGCCTGATCTATTTAGAAACATATCTGGGTTTGTGTAATTTGTCCGGTACCGATGAACTTGATTTCGTCCACCCGTTGTATGGATCTAAAGTATCACGCGTTTGTTAAACTTTATACACGGCTGGCAGTGCATTCTGCAGGATTATCCGCTCTATATTTCAATGCAACTTCTCGTGCTCGTTAAATACGTAGCGTACGTGAAAACAGGCGACAGGTCGGATTAAAGTAACACCGTTACTTGCGCGTAATTACCGTAGGAGCGATTAATTAATACGACGCGAAAAAATACGGGATCGCTTCGGTGAGTCGAGAAGCTATGTTTATTATTTTCATGCTTCTCGAGGATAACTAATGTTTAGGATAATTTTTCAAAGCAGAGAAAGAAATGTAGTTTGATTGTTCGTTCTTTCTGCACACTTCGTGAAAGTTTCTTTATAAATGGTAATTGAAAAAAGGAATTGACCGACTTTCTTGTCTAGTAAAAAGCATTGATGCGTTGCCAAAGGTGAACAGTGCTTCATTGATAGTAAAATGTGGGACATAGTAAAGGTGGTCGATATCAAGACTGTTTTCACCTGCGATCCACGTATTCCATAAAATAATTTAACCTAGCAGACATATTTCTTGTTACAATTGCAGGACTACTCTGCATAAATATTAATAAATTATTGGTATGTACCTCGGCGTATGTATGTTTATTAAATTTCCTGGTTATGCAATTAGTTACGATGTTTCATAAACCTGTTTCGCATTGATAAGCAGTGGCGACTCTTTTTCTACTCTCACAATCGAATTCTGTCTCGTTGTGTAAGAAATATTTAATGAAAAACTGTTAAGCCTTTGAGTTCATTGCTGTTTCTACTGTATCCGATGTAAGCGGCCAGGTGTGTAAAATTAAATGCCTAGATTCCCATGGCATTAAACTGAATTAACCGCGGTATTAAAATACGAATTTTGCAGCCTTGATTCCATTCAGCCTAGGATTCAGTTCGATCTTTTGAAAATCGAAGGATCAACGCGGAGTAGAAAGTCGTTTCGCATTTCGCAAATAATCCGGGCTTTAAGGATCTCGAAACGCGAGTTCAAAAGTGACAAGCGAATCCGTTTAAGCAAACACGCAATCCTTCTAGAAATATTAATGATCCCGATTGTCGAGCGATCGTTGATGAAGCTTTCAGCAAGGACGACAAAGGTAGGTCGATCTCGCTGAAAGTTAATGCACATCATCCACGATCTTTAATCTAAATTACACATCTATTACAGGCGTTGCTTCCCGTGTTACGGCACTTTGTATTCCTTGCTCGGTTTTGCGTAATCGAATCGCAGCACGAAAACAGAAGCAACAGGATGAGGTCAGCGGATTTTGTTTCATCAACGAAGTTCATTAATTCCATTTGCAATTTGGTCATTATAGCATTTTGAAAATATCATCAGTAACGTTCTCTGTATCGAATCAGGTTTATTAACCCAACACAATACCCTTCGATTTTTCCGGACACCGACCAATTTTTCTCGACCCGACCGATCCGATCCCAATATCTCGAGTACTCGCACACTTCTAGTATGAAGACATAGTAGTTACCTTACTATCACGAATTAGTCATAATTAAGAGCTGTTACGTAGCTAGCTTTGATTTTATGGAATGCAAGCGCGCTTTTGCGGGATCTTTGAGAGAGGAAACACGGAAAACGCGAATCTTTGTTAGCAGTCGAGGAAACACTGCTGCGAAACCTTGAATAATGAAAGTCAATTATAAACACGCACGGTGCAATGATGATTCGTGGCAGGTCGAATTGAAATTGCGCGCAAAATAATTTCTAACGAAAGTTCTATTATCTATGAAGTTTATTTTATAACCCGAAGTACGTAGAGATAATCATTTTGTCGTTGCGTAAGAAATTTCTGAAAATTCTTGTACAATATAAAACGCAACGGACGATTGCGCAAAGAGAATCTGTTTATTAATCTGGAACGGTTTTTATGATGCTTGACGAAGCTTCGCAACATCCCGTTGTTAGGCATCTTCCTCGTTACATTTAATTATGGAAGACATTAACATCGCCGTGTAGATCGTCTTGTAAAATAAGGTGCACGGTCCAAGGTCGCCTACTCTTACCACGGAATTTCTACTATCCTTATCAGTCCAGTCAGAAGGACACGCGTATCCTTGATCGATTCTGATTGATTAGCAGATAAATTAGAGCGTGTCAGGGATTTGTTAAAGGCTTCTTCCACGATGTGGACATTTAATCATCAATCTTTTAAAATCATAGTACAGGTTTGGTTATGTCGGATATGTCCTACTGCATTAACCTGTTGCATTACGTGCACTTTGCATTGCATCACTTCTACAAGCGGTTGCCATTAACCCGTTCAAGCGAACTATTTTGTGGTTTACGTTTTATTTCTAATCGAAAAGGAATCTTAAACAATCGCAGACTGTATCGGCAGACTTTTGTTTTCGGAAGTTTTTAATGAATTCATCAATTACACTTAGCCTTCGTATGTCAAACTCTGACGGACGTATCGCATAGCATAATCTCTTCTGGGATGTCGATGCAACGACTCGTAAATCAGGATCATTTGTCTGTCTCGTCGCGAAGCCGTTTGCCGGACTAGCTTCGATTGCATACGTGTTTACATGCACCGATTATCGGCGGTGCAACAGCATGCACGTGTGTATGCACCTAGATGGATGTAGCACCTTCCACAAGCGCGTATAAACGTAATCTAAATCAGGTTTTCTATCGGAGAAAGCGCCTCTTCTGCATCGTTTACCTAGCCTGACTTCCTGAAGTTCGTGCTGTTCTTGTTT